AACACTCATTTCAATCCCAAAACAGTAATTTACAACATAGTATATCAATTATTGAACAATTATACAACCATTCACAACTTTTCCAAAATCGATGAATTGGTCCCCTAACTTTTTAAAAATTACAGAATGGTCCGCAAATTTTTCTAAGGCTTGAAAAATACTTCCTACATCATTTCAATAATTTTTCTCACTTAATTTCCTCATGGCTGAATATTTTAAACATAGAAACTAAGTTTTCATGATTTTGCTCAATTTTGATTCGATTCAAACATGAAATCAACTTCCAATCAACCTTATAACATCTCTACAATCAAAGCCCTAATCAAATTTCATCAAAACACCAAGTTCTTCAATTTCTTCATTTGACCGGAATTTATAGAATCATATTTAGGAAGTTTGAACATGTTTTAATCACAAATCAAGCTTGAAAATGAATCTACAACCTCAAAAACATCAATATTCATCATCAATTTCTTGAACCCTATCATGAACATAAACCCTAAGATTTGGGATCTTTGAAATTAAGCAAGTTGAGCAAGCATAATTGGTACCAAAAGAAATCGTTTTGCGACTAGATCACTTTCCTATTTCACGGCATAGCTTGAATTCCTAATGAAATTGCTCAAAAATGGAAAATAAGTATTTTTCCCTTACCATGGTATGAACAAATTTGGCATGAAATTTAGATATTTTTCATGCTAAGTCTATCTTAAATTTCACTTTAATGAAATTTAAATTCATTAAATTAGGAAATTACGAATTCACCCTTAATGAAACTTCATAATTACCATTAAACCAAGACACCTAACCTTATCATCTTCCAAATTAAGACACCTCAACCTTATCATATCCCATAAGTCAAAGATGAACAAATAAAATCTTACTTTACCGATTTTCCCTTGCCTTTTTCCAAAAATCACAATCTTGCCATTTTAAAACCAACAATCCAAATTAAACATGGAATTAAACCCTTAATTCTAATGATTTATTTATATTATTTTCCAACATTTATTAATGTGAAAATAATATTTTTCGATCTAAGGTATCATCCTTCAGATTTTCCTTAATTTTCTATTCGATCTGATTTACTGAATTTTTCGTCAACTTCCTTGTTCTATAACTTTTATTATAAATCTCAGATTAAAATTCTGATTCCCACCAAAACTTTATCCTTGAAATAAAATATTTATTTACAAGAACAAAATATAACTTTTTAAAAATTATCATTTTGGTCCCTAAATGTTTTCAAAATTTATAAATTGGTCACTAAAACTTTTCTAAAGTTTATACTTTAGTCACCAAACTTTCAAAATTTCTATTTTGGTAACTATCTAAATTTTTGGGGTATTACAAAATCCATATCAATCATCATATTCAACCACTTTCATATTATTTCCAATCTAATGCATTATCTTTACATAATTATCATTTCACTTTTAACTTTCCCAAAACTTGCGAATTGGACCTCTATTTTATTCAACTTTCCATATTAATCCAAATTCAATATTTCATCATTCAACTATAGCCTAGTACACTAATTGTCTAACCTTTTCATTTTAATCTTTCAACTTCTCATGTAATGTTGAAAAGGTCTTTAACAACTTAATTAAATTTCAATTTAACCTTTCAAGTCCCTCTAATAATCATTTATGATTATAATTCACTTAAACTTCATACATCATCTTATACTCCATTTCTATTTTAACCCATATTTTCTCCATATTTATAATTTAGTCCTTAATCTTATACATATTTCCAAATCAGTCCCAGTTAATATTTTAACATCAAAATTACCACCATATTATTTAAACTTCAAGTGTTTTTATATTTATATTCATTCAATAACTTTCAAACTCAAAATTTATGCAATTTGCATTCTGGTTCCAAAACTTCAACAAACTTACAAAATTAACCCAAAAATCAATGTTCCAACATCAAATCAACATTTAATATTCAATTCTAATATAATACTTTAAATTCTAAACAATTACATAATTGTCATTTAAGTTCTCAACCTTTTTCCATTATTACGACTTATCCCTTATACTCTTACAATCTTCCAAGTTCGATTCCAAATCCATAATCTAATCATAGGATAAATTCTTTTAGAATTCATCTCAAATTTTTATTTCATTCAATATGGTCCTTTTTACCATTTAATCCCAAATTTCCAGCATTTAATTCAAATCTAATACCTCAATAATTAAAATTTTTCACTTAATCCCTATCTTTTTTATATTTATGATTTGGTCCTCAAACTTTAGAAACTTTCCAAAATGACCCAATTTCACATTCTAACATCAATTTCAACATTCTATCATTTACATTCCAGCATAGTACTTTAACTATTAAACAATTACACTTTAATTCTTATATTTTCCAAAACTTGCGAATAGATTCTTGTATTTTCACAAATTTCCAATTTGATCCAAATCAAATTCCAATATCAAATTCAACGCTCTAACATCCAATTTTAACATAATACATTAATTATTCAATAATTTTAGATTAATCCCTATATTTCTCAATGTATATGAATAGGTCTCTATACTTTTACAATTTTCCAAATTGGTCCAAATGACATTCAAAGCATGTATAATCATTCTAATGTCAATTCTAACCTTTAGGAAACTTTTCCATAAATGTTTCCTTAGTTCTTCATCAATGTCGAATACTTTAAGGTTAGGATTCAAAGTTTGTCAACTTGATTCAAGCATGAATTCAAGCTCCTAACATTTTAATCTCATGCAATTCCAATCAATCCCAAATCAAAATCAATCCAAATTCAATAATCCTTCATAAACCCTAGCTATGAACGAATACAACATAAGCATTTTTAGATGATTTTAATCATCACATAAGCTTGAAACAATTCTACAACACTTCTAGCATCATACTTCAATCTTATTTTATTGGATTATAATCTCTTTTTCATTCACCATTTTCATCAATTCAATAATTCAATTAAGGAAACAATAAAATATTAAGACCAAATGATAGAGAATTTGATATAGATCATTTTTCTCTTTCATGACTTAATCCAAATATTAAATGAAAATGGCTAAAAATAAATAAAATGAAGAAAAGTTACATTGCTTCTTTCTATCCATGGCTCACGGAAATATATAGGGAGAAGAAGACAATTTCTAGATAATTCATGAGAATTATCTCATGTAAACTTGTCAAATAATTAATTAAATAAATATAAAATTTATTTAATGTAAAATTATAATTTTACCCTTTAAAAATAATGATAATTTCAACCATGCCATTATTATGACATCGTCTTCCTTAATTCATTTTCTAATTCAAATATGAACAAACTATTTTGTGCTTTCCCAGTTTACCCTTGTAACTTTTAAAAATTACAAACTAATTACTATAATTAACAATTTCGGTTTAACATAGAAAATATATCTAAATTCCAAGGATCCATGTCAAATTTCACCGTTATAAAATATAGAAATAATATTTTAACCTCTTTCTATCATCTTTCAAGTTTTCTTGAAATTTCAGTTCGATCTGATTATCCGAATATTTTATCGAGCTTTATTACTTTTAATGTAGATTCCAAAATCTAAAGGAAACATAAATACCATTCTTAAGGGTGAATTTTTCATTTACGAGACCAATATATATAACTTTTTAAAATTACACTTTTGGTCTCTGAACTTTTCTAAGTTTCTATTTTGGCCACTAAATTTTCAAAAATTGCATTTTATTCACTATTCAAATGTTGTTACTATCTCGATACTCGATGGGTATCCGCTTCTTTGTCGATATATGTGTTTTGTTCGAAGTTGTTGGATTTGTTTATTCTTGTACAATGTGCTGAATTTCTGAAAAGTATGTTTCGTTATTGAATTTCAGACAAGAATTTCACTGCAGGATTAACTTTGTTGTATATGTGTGCAAAGCTTATCTTCAACTAGATGAGGTGATAATTAAATCAAAGGCACAATTGACACCTATATTCCTCACCAATGCCAAGTTAAATGAGACATTATCATATAGCAAATCACTGGAAATTTGCTTGATTACAAGTGCTTCAACAAGCTTTTCACATGAAATAACATCATAAACCTGTAAACTGATAAATACACACAGACTCCATTAAAGCAGCAGGCATGCCTATAGGATTATGTAAGTGGAGGATGATGTATGCATAAACTTAACCTAATCCTCCGTTGCTAATGCTAATTCAAGCATATCCAATGATAAATACATATACACGTGTATGCCAGTCATTTGTTAACTAATTATATTATTAAGGTACTTAATTGAGGGGTTATACATATCTTATAATGTGAAGAGCAAATACAGAGTAACTTAAAAATGAAAAGAAAAAATGATTATAAGGTAATATTTGTATATGATTTCAAATATGGATAAATTTATGTAAATTTATAGATAAAACTGTTTAAACTTGAGTCACCTAGAAAAATAACTTTCTCTTTATTACAGATACTACTCTTTAGATTCTCATATTTTTTAACTTAAATAATTAGATATAAATTGATAAAAGCTATAAATTTACCGAGACTACTCTTTAGATTCTCATATTTTTGAACTTAAATAATTAGATATAAATTGATAAAAGCTATAAATTCATAGACGAGAAAGACAAAAATAAGTATTATGATGCTTTCACCAAATGTCACACTCTAATTCAATATTGTTACCTTACTTAACTATATAATCCAGTAAGTCATTAGATTAATAGACCCCAAGCAGTGGCAGATCCATCCTTATGGTCACATGTCTATTTTGAAATTCGAAAATTTTCGGTTATTTATTTATTTTATTAATTGTGTTTATCTTGAAATTTTATTTGTCTACCTCATACAAAAATATTATGTTATTAATATATGTGTGCCCACCTTTAAAATTTTCTGTATTCGCCATTGGCATCAACAATAGAACAATGGCCTCCTCCACCTTTTTTACCTACCTTTGCTTCATATTCTCTCTCGAGTGAGAAAACATCTTTGAAATGAAGAGAAATTGCTTAAACATGCAGAACAAGAAGATTGTTCTACTTTTTCTAATGGTTTCAGCTTTTCTTTTATCAACTTCAATGGCGGGTGAGCTTTATCTCCCTCTTTTCTTTTTCTTTAATCAGCGCAAACTCATGCACGATTTGTCGACGAAATGTTTAAGCTCTTAGTGACGAAGAAGGAAACAGCAGTTTACTAATTAGTATAAAAATGATTAATATGCATATTCGTCGCGTAAAACTGAAGAAAAATTAGTTCGTAAAATGGAAAAATATTTCATTTTATTCTTTTTCTTCAAAGTCCTATTAGGGTTTATGATGTATGTATGCACGTATGTGTACACTTTATCTTCCAACATTTATATGCTGAAAATCATCTTTTACAGGTCGACGACCCAAGGTCATAAACATGGCTGAGGAAATAAATGCAGGCTTTGAGGTATATATATACTTGATTTAAATATTGACATTGTGCATGGACATAAATAAGTTAAAAGAGTCATGATACAAAAAAAATTCTATATACTTGATTTGAATTAATTGAATAATAAATTGAATATTGATAGTTATAAAAAATCTACATATCAAATAATTAAAAACTCAAAATTTTAATTAACCCTATACTTTGTTTTTCATTAAATTTAGTTGGGATGGATAGAAAGAGCGAGTAAGGATAGTGATCCCCTGAAAATTTAAAATTATTATATATTTTAGATTTTTATGTATTTTTTATTGAAAATATGTTTTCATCAAATTTTATAACTTCATCCAATCATCAATTTCTAAAATTTTAGGAGTTCTTCCTTCAGCATAAAATCTTACGTCTATTTGTGAATTTAATCATTTGCATATATATTTTTTTCTTAATTTATTTTTGGTTGATTCATTTTATGATACTTTTTGAAAAATATAAGAAACAGGATGGTGATGAAGGAAGTGGAGTCCACGAAAGGATGCTTAGAGCAAACACGAGAGACTATGGAAAATACGATCCATCGCCGGCTCTTGTGAAGCCTCCTTTCAAGCTCATACCTAATTGATGTCTGTTTTTCATTCTTTATATTTTACTTAAGGCATAATACCAAAAATAATCCCTAACATTTACGAAAAATAATCATTTTGGCCTATGTTCTTTATTTTGAAGCATTTTTCCTTTGACATTTAATTTTGAGGCAAAAAGCTCATTTTATAGATGAAAATCATTAGTTAACACATGATTAATGCTATAAAATAAGAGTCTTTTTAACCTAAAATTAAACGTTGAGGGCAAAAATATCCTAAAAAAAGAATAAGGGACAAATTGATTATTTTATCAAATATTAGGATAATTTTTACCTTAAAATAAAACGTTAAGGGTCAAAATACTCCAAAAAAATTAAATAAGAGGTAAATGAACATTTTAATAAACATTGGACGCTAATTTTGATATTATATCTTTACTTAATTATATCAACCATCTCATACATAAATACATACATATATTTAATAACCATGGTTGTGTCATGTTTATAATGTAATATATACGCGTGAAATCAATAAGGAACATATCTTTTACGGCTTACTACTTGCGTCCCTGTAAGATATATGAATTTTTAGGTTGGTTCCTTAAGAATTTTTCATCACTTCATCTCTTATTTCGATAGATATGATTTTCAAGCGGGGAACCACACAATGAGACGAAATGTATGTTGTGGTGAAAACGGAAGACTCATATATTTTTTATACGATTTCTACTTTATTTTGGATGAACTATAAAAAAACAGAACTCGATTCTTTCCTTTTTCTGTATTGTAACACTTTGAGTCATTTCTTATTTATTCTATCCTATCATATTTAGGTTAGAGATAAATATTCGATGAAGTCGAGTCGAATCGAGTTTATAAATCTCGAGTTAGTCGAATTGACGAGTCCCATTTTATAACTCAAATGAATTATATTTTTTTCAAGTTTTTGTTTAAATTTAATTATAAATAAGTATAATTTCATGGTATTACTTGATTCTAGTTTAAAAGGTTTTTTATAACTATATACGATATATATATATATATATATATATATATATATATATATATATATATATATATATATATATATATATATATATATATATATATATTTCAGTCTTTATATTGTTTCTCCGTTGGCCGCAATTCACAGACAAAACAGTCTTTTAATTTTTCAATTAATCTCTCTTCCTCCAGACATGAATGAGAGTTTGATGACAGCTGCTCGAACCGGAAATGTTGGTGATTTGTACAGGTTAATTCGGATAGATGGGAATGCTTTCAGGAAATGCTTTCAGGCTTTTTGAGGATGTGGAGTTTGTGGACACCCCTTTAAACATTGCTGCAGAACAAGGGTGCATTCGGTTCGCCATGGAGATAATGAACCTCAAGCCATCATTTGCTCGGAAACTGAACCAAGATGGCTTCAGCCCCATGCACCTTGCGGTTAAAAAAGGGCATATAGAGATGGCGTTGCGTTTCATGGAAATGGATAGAGATGTTGTTCGTGTTAAGGGGAAGAGTGGTAAGACTCCTTTGCACTTGATAAGAAAACTTGGAAACCACCATGGTCTGTTGGATAGACTTCTAGAGGTTTGCCCTGAGAGTGTTCTAGATGTTACAACTAAGAACCGCACTGCTTTGCATATTGCAACCAAAAACAAGAGACTGGACGTTCTTCAAGTCCTAATTCGATGTCTTCAAAAGAAAGACAAAGACAAAGACTATTATCGGCAAGTGGTGAACCGGAAAGACGAAGAAGGCAATACTGCACTTCACATTTGCTGCTAGCAATAATCAACCTCGGGTTTGATGACTTATCTGCTTTAATAGTTAATATTACATAGATTCTTTTGTACCTCGTTGACGTTTTAACTGATTGTAGCAGATGCTCAGAATACTATTAGACTGCAAGGCTTATAAGCATGCCACCAATCAGGCTGGTTGGACGGCACTGGATGTTGCAATAGGGCAAAACAACAGAGAAAACATCAGTATTTTGCGGGGTTGCTGTATTCCGAGAGTTTCAAACTTCAAATATAAGATGGAGAAACAAATGGCCAAAGTATCTAACGATGGCATCGTCACTAATTTTTTCCGGAATGGATAATATATCAGGGGAAGACCGCAATGCTGTACTAGTAATTTTAGGACTGCTTCTTACCGTAACTTTTCAAGCCGCTCGTAGCCTGCCCGGTGGAGTCTTGCAGGGTGAAAGTTCCTCAAAGTCCAAAGGGTTGTATGATCGAAGTGCATTGGGGGAATCATGTTGGAAACTAAACGAGTAATTTCCCTATAATCAGATTAGTGAGAATGCAAAATAAAAGCGGAAAAATAATACCCGAAATTGATAACGTAGTTCAGCTAATTATGCCTACGTCTCCGGACTACTGTAGTTCTTTTACAAGAGAGCAAATTTACAGGTGTTTACAAAACACTCACAACTCACAAGAAAGCTCTCTAGTATTGGGAGAAAGAAATGATATTTGGGATGATTTTGAAACTAAATGGGTTAAGGTAATCTTGTAAATACCCTAAATGTGCAATGACTAAAGTTGCAATATTCCCATGTAAAAAACTTCACAAAATTAGCCTCCTTTTGACTTCACAAACCTTTGAATTTTCAACCCATTGTGGGTGCCAAACTTCCAATGTGTCGTGCCAAACTTTGTTTTGCATTGCTTGACTTTTCAACTTTAACAATCTCCCACTTGAAGACTGATTTTAATCTGTCTTCACACCTCGATCAATGCAACAACATTTCTGGTCTTGTTACTCTAAATCTGCTTCAGTCCTTCTTACTCCCTGAAGTCTGACACTCTTCGTATTGAACCCTTGTCATTGGAGTTCTTTGCGCCATCATGCATCAACACTTTCTCACGGCAAAGTCTAATGCCTCTTCTTGCCTCCTCCCTTCTAACACGAAGGTTGGAGCTCACTTCCCACATTGTAAATGGGAAGTTTCTCCGTGGTTGCCTTGTCCCTCAACGTCTTGGCTTCCTTCGACTCTTGTCTACTAGTCTTTGAAGAATTGTTCCTCACTTGAACATCCTCGGCAAGCCCTTGCTTCGACCTTTCTCTTGTGATGGTCTCTGAAGCCATGTTCTCTACGCGAAAATGCTCGACAAACTCCTTGGACATGGACAACTCCTCCTGCACTTGGCTTCTACACGCCTTGGCAGAAATGAACCTTATTGAGTCAACTCTCAATGCCTCTTCGATCTTGGGTTCGTCCTCTTCTTTGTACAACTCGATGCTGGGCCTATCCATCTCATTGGATGACTCAGCTCCCCTCGGGTAATCTCGCAATACTTCTGGCATCTTAAGTTTGTGCCCCCTCGTTTGCTCGACTCTTACCTTTGGCGTAGCATCTTTGACACTTGAACTTGTGCCAAGCCTGCACACATATTCCCAGATCCATCATCTGGTTCATCATTGAGTAGACTTTCTCTGCCACTCGAGGAACAACATTCCTCATCCTTCGACTTGCCTTCATCATGGAATCTCTTTCTGCTACCCTCGGCTTTCGGCTTTGCTTTGGAAGTCTTGTTCTTCTTGACTCCAAATTCTTTGATGGACTCAGCGGTTGTCAATGCTTTGGACAACTCCTTGACTTCCCTTCGCTCCAACACTTTCTTTGCCCACTGCTTTAATCTGAACATGAAGGTGAAGAACCCATCTTCTTCAGTCAAACTTGGGACTTTGAGCATGAGTCTTCTGAATCAACTCACATACTCCTTAAGTGTCCAATTATGCATAAGACACCTCAACTTGGACCACGTCTCCATCCTGGCATACTTTGAGCAGACTTGCTCACTCTGCACCCTTGGCTTGATGGCTTTATCTCTTGCTATCTCACCGGGTCCCTTCTTGTGCTCGACTGCTTTGATACCCGCAGTCTCGTCACCTTTCGATCCTGGGTTGACTACTTGAGAGCTTGTAGTCGCACCACTCTTGCTCCTTGATTCGGCTACTTTGGAACATGTAGCCTTATCAAGTATTTCCCTTGTCTTGATTGCCTGGATACTCGCAATCTCGGGCTTTCTTCTGGGTTTGGCTGCTTCAACATCAACAACCTTGCCTCGTCTCGATCCTTGCTTGGCCGTATTGATCCCATCAATCGGACAAAGTCTTTTTCCTGGCTTGGTAGCTTTAACACTTGCGACTGTGCTAATTCCCGCTCTCCTTCTTCCATCCTATTCATGATGGTTGTAAGGCGACACTTCTCGGGACATCCTCTAATCAAATGAGGACCAACACAGAAGTAGTACTTCAATTTTTCCTTGCTCCCCTTCTTCTTTACACCACACTTAGCCTTGCCATTCTTTCCCGATGGCTTTCCTTGGCTACGAATAGTCGATGGCTCACCTTGGCCATTCGAAGAGCATTCTCTACCATCTCCCTGCTGCACCTTTTCCCAGTCTCCCCCACTGTTTCTACTATCCCTAGGCATGGGCCTAGACGACACATTGCAACTTGGCTTGACTCTTGCAAGCTCATTCAGCTTTCCGGCTACTGCTATGGCCTCTGAAAGTCTCTGGGCATCTCCTTGCTCTCCCCGAGCATCGCCCCTGGTCTAAGTCCATCCAAGAAGGTCTTGAACGCACCCCATTCACTCGTTGCTCCCTTGCATAGTTTCTCAAAGTCATCGCTCCCACTCGAATCTGACTTCTTTTGAATCGTTTCTGACAATTCTTACGAACCACCGTGTATTAGAACACCTCCGTCGACAAATTCGTATCACCGACCAAAGTTTACTATTCACGAAGTTCACTATTCATGTGAATAGTAACCTCACAAAAAATTGACAAAATTCACAACCAAAAGCTCATGATACCAGTTGTTGGGAAATAAACGAGTAATTTCCCTATACTTATATATTAATGAGAATGCGAAATAAAAGAGGAAAAATAATACCTGGAATTGATAACGGAGTTCAACTAATTATGCTTACGTCTCCGGACTACTGCAGATCTTTTACTAGAGAGAAAATTTATAGGTGTTTACAAAACACTTACAACTCACAAGAAAGCTCTCTAGTATTGAGAGAAAGCAATGATTTTTGGGATGATTTTGAAGCTAAATGAGTTAGGGTATTTATAGTTGAAGCTTAAAGACTAATCTTGTAAATACCCTAAATGTACAATGACTAAAGTTGCAATATTCCTATGTCAAAAACTTCAACAAAATCAGCCTCCTTTTGACTTCACAATTTCGGTGCCTACCTTTGAATTTTCAACCCAATGTGGGTGCCAAACTTCCAATGTGCGGTGCCAAACTTTGTTTTGCATTGCTTGACTTTTCAACTTCAACACATCAGTCATGATTTCATACGATTTTCTTTTTGTCTATGTTCCCACCTATGTGGTGTTCATCGTAACGTTTTTCCTAAAACTAGCACTGCTCAAACCTTTTCCCAATGGTTTCAGGACAGTACTTCAAGTACTACTCGCATTTCTTGCAATATGCTTTCACCAATCAATATTTATCATAGCCCCAGAGTATTCAGCAGTTGTGGTTATGGATTTATTATCAGCAATTGTTTTCATTTTAATGGTGGTCATGTTTATCACATACGAGGTGTCGAAACTCAGCGTTTCAATCTCGGCATGTTTTACATACTTCCGAATTTGGGAATCCACGATAGACCTTCCATGTAAAAAATCTTTTATGGTTCGAGGAGTAATTCTAGGATTGATTTTGTTCCATTTTTTGTTTGATAACTTCTGGCAAGGAACCATTTTAGCTAATAAATTCAAACACCATAGATTTTAGGGGTTTTTAGGTGTGTGAACATTCATTGTAGAAAGACAATATATTTTGTTTTTACCCTACAATGATAATAAAATTATCTAATATTTGACTAAATAATTATTTTAATATTAATATTTTATTTTAAGGTAAAAACGTCCCTACGTAAATGAAAATCGTTACTAAACAGACAATTAACGTTCCTAAAAGGAAAGACTTTTATTCTAAAATAAAATATTAGGATTAAAATGCTTAAAAAATAATGACTAATTAAGTGACTATTTAATTGAACGTCAAAATTTGTTTTTTTTTCTTAAAACGAAATGTTAGGCCAAAATACTCTGAAGAATATAATAAACATTAAAATAACTATTTGTTCAAACGTTAAAAATATATTATCTTAACATTATGCTAATTTTTAACTTGTGGTAGATATGACATGTCATGGAATTATGCCATCGCACTTCAGCACTTAGAATGGCTGAGAAAAAGGCGGGATCCCTAAACGAAAACAAAAGCCATTAGGAGGTTCATCGCTCAGAATTTTGATCCGTGGATAGTTATAGAACATCGAGACAGAAGTAATTTATGCAATGCAATAATTTTGAGATTCTTAGTTAAAGATTCGATAATTATGTGCTCCTTTCTCGTGATTTCAGATAGAAATGTTAAATATTAAACATAAAATTATTTTGTATAATAGTATTTTTAGTTTTAAATTTATTTTTAAATTTTATTTTAATTCAAAATAATTTAATAAATTTAATTATTTATATTTAGAAATTCTATCAACGTAAGCCAATTTTTTTTCTCTCTCTCAAATGATTTGTTTTCATGATCATCTCTACCTGGATACCCTCGTTAGTCGTTAACACTAATTATACCAAACTTGATATTTTAAATTAATCATAAACATGTATGTTATTATTATTTATTTTTGAGGAATATATTTGTTATCATTTTATTCATACAAACGGGTCAGTCTCGACCTCCACGTGACAAGGATCGATTGGTGGTATTCTTCGAGACCACAATGGTTCCACCTCGGTTCTTTCAACAATTATATTGGTCCAACTACACCCCTAGATGCCGAGCTATTAGCAATCCATGAAGGCTTAAATCTTGCATGGTCTTCGGGTTTTTGAAACGGTATCGATTCAAACTGACAACAATGATACTAATCAGCTTTTGACTCCGCCTTTGGCTGGCAGTCCTTTTGCCGTTCTATTGCTCGAGTCTGCTCTCAAGCTTGGTTCGTTGAGTTCTCCCAAATCCCCCGCGAAGCAAATGTAGTGGCTGATCTTTTAGCCAAGATGACTTCATATACCAATAATGTTCTCCATATTATTGATCTTTTGCCACCTCCTATTCAAGATGCTGTACTTAGAGACCGTCATGGTCCCGTATGAGTGTAAAATTTTAGGGTCAGATTGGTTTTAGAAAATATTTTTTAATTTTGTTTTTATTTTTAGAAAATAGTTTTTATTTTCAATTTTTAAAATTAGAAAACATGTTTGGTTAATATAAATGAAAATTT